ATTTATTGATATAAATTCCTCGACTTTAAATTATATGTAATCCATAAAATGGTTAAACCTATTGGATTAATATAAAAATTAACATATTTATATAAATAAAACTTTTAATACAATAGTTGGTTTAAAAAAGTAATCAAAATATGACATTTTTTGAGATGTTCTCTATAAAGGATATCCTGCAAAACACTAAGTATATATGTGTGTGTAGGGCTATCAACAAGCTGAGCTCAAAATAGTTGAGTTCGTGCTCAATCTCATGAGTATTTGTGAGTAACTTAATAATTTTTTTTTATTAGCATAGGTCACAAGTAATTATTGAAACTCGAGCTCGAACTCATTTTTTTTTTTATTGGGCTTGATATTAAGCTCAAGTTTGACTTGTTTATTAAATAAGTCGAGTTTATCATAAGTAACTCATGAGTTATTCACAAACTACTGTACTCATTAATAGTTCTATGTGTATATACTTGTGTGGAAAAAGTGTCTATCTACTCACCTCTTAATAGTTAAGAGAAAAATCACCCTAGAAGTATGTCATTTCATCTTAATTTTTAAGAGAAAAAAGGATAAGCACTAATCTTATATATATTTATTTCACTATACAAAAAAAAAAAATTAACTATCATTTTATTTGTAGTATTAAAATTACATTGTGTTTATATTAGGGATTACTACAGTGTTTATCCATTTTATCTCCTAAAATTATATTATATGAGTAAATTATCGTAAGAAATAACTGAAAAAACCAAAAAACCTCTAATTCATTATTTAAAAATAAAGTATTTGATTTTTTTTTCAATAAAAATTTTTAAAACGATATAATTTTAAAATAATTTTTTTCTAATATTTCAAAAATAAGATGAATAGGCACTTTTTCATTTATATTATGATTTAACATTTGATAACAGCATAATTGAAAAGTTTAGGATCTCAAGAGAATGAGTTATGAAAGAGTATAGTTTCTTTATGTTATGCACATAGGTTATTTGATCAATTACATCACTAAATACACTTTCTCTCACTATTAAAATCCTCTTTTTTAGCAACTAACTATCAGCAATATGAAATTGTTTGTCAGTGATATAAATTTTTACCAACAAAACTCATGTTGTTGATACCTATGCAATACCCAATCCCCCAAAAAAGTGAGCTCAACTTTCATCAATAACAAGCATGTTGTTAATTTTTGGTGAGTTAAAGTGAACTAAACTTTCCGCAACAAAGACTATGTTATAAGTACTATGTTACTAATACCTATATGGTATCCAATACCCTCAAAAAAATGAGTTGAACTTTCAACAACAAGGTTCATGTTGCTGAAATTGATCTCCTATACTTTGTTTTGTATATTATGTGTTTTAAGTTCTTTAGTAGGGACATTTAATTCACTTCATCTCTTAAATTATTAATTAATTTACATAAAACCATTTTAAGGTATCATAAACTCATATATATTTATCATCTTTAAATATTTAATTGTGTAAAAAACAGACTTTAAAATATGAGGAAAAATTAAACTTAAGGGACAAATTAAAAATATTTATTTGTCTTGAAATTAAAAAAAAAAGGATAATTTTTAATATGTTTATTTTATCTTATAATTCATAGTAGTATATTAATTGTTTGTGATAAAGAAAATTTTACCGGCGCTCTAAAATTGTGGTTAACATACATCCCTGTTCTCTTGACCTAAAATTAACATGCAAATTAAAGAGACAAATGGAACTGAGGACGATGAGACATACCGGAGCAGCCTGGTAAGCTCCGTGGCCTTAGCAAAGTCGCAGTCTTCACGTGCCTTCAAGATTCTGAACATAAGAGCAAGTCTGATTTTGTTTCTGGTACTCTGTTGGAGTACGAGTTGAGTTTCTTTCTTAAGCTGTAGGCACTCCGATTCGATAGCTTCGAATTTTTCTCTAACCTGGCGTTGTCCTTCTCTGATACATCTTTGTTCTGCACTTATTTCTTGCATCTCCGCCTTCAACCTCTTCAAGCTTGCGTCCATGTTTTTCAACGCAGTCCTCCTCTGTCCACCGTTAATTTAAAATTAAACAAATGGAGGAACGCATCTAAAAGTAAAAACATAGCATATATATACATACATACCTTCTTAATCTGCTTCTTCAGTTGGTGCCTTCTCACGGGAGCACTGACAATTAGACGATTCAGGGAGAGTGGATTCATTCTTCTGATCACAGACAAAAGACCCAAAACAGTATTCTTCTAACGCGTGCAAGGTAATCAGAGCACATCGACATATAACACACTCAGTGCTGCTAGCTATTTATAGAGTTTTCTAGTATGAGCAGTGCTAGGGGCGCTCGCCTCTTGCACTCTCCGGCGAACACGTCCCCTTTCATTGGGCCACGTAAGCTTGTTTGGGCTTTGAGGGGCAACCTCTCACCGACCAGAGTAACGTGGCCCAATAAAAGTGAAAGTGCTGGCGGGAGACTGATTCCCTCTCAGTGACACATCAAATGGGTTATTGTTAAAATGATCCTTAAATTTTTTAAATTTGTAACACAATTAGTCCTTAAACTTTAAAAATATAATCCTTATTTCCTTCCTCTAATCCTCTCTATTCCCTTCCACTCTCTCTCCTATCTTCTCTAACCCAGGGTACGTTTTCTGCTTTCCTCCTCATCTCCCTCACACACAAATAAAAATTATGTTTATGTTACAAGTATCTCTCAGATTTTTCTTTTTCTTTTTCTTTTTTGCTAAAACGCAAAAGAGAGAAAGTGGGGTTAAAAGCAAAACAAAAATAAAAGTACTGTTGGGGAGTCAACAAACAGATCTGCTTGAGATTCGACGATTTGACTCCTTTTCTTTCCCTTGGTGATATTGGTTTGTGTTCAGGAAAAGATGGGTTTTAAACATGAATTTTGATTTTGTGATTTCAAATGCAATGAACAATAAGTAGTATTTTTTGGATCATAGTATTAAATCAACAAATGATGAAAATTTTTTGAAGTTTAAAATCATGCATGCACATGGAGATACAGCCCATTTTATTTGAATATCCATATTTATTAAAATCATTCACATAGAGAAGATAGGAGAGAGAGTGGAAGGAAAAGAAAAGGTGAGGGAATAAAGAGGGTTAGGAGAAGAATAAAGAGAGTTAGGAGAAGGAAATAAGGTATAAAATTTTTGGAGTTTAATTTAGGGACTCGTTGGTTTTCAAATTTAAAAACTTTAAGGATTCACTTTAACAATAATTCATTTGAAATATGACAAAGTTGGGCTATTGTCACTATGGGTAATTTCCTTAGGGCCTATTTGGTTGATTTAGTTAAAGTGTTACTGTATTAAAAAAGTTTTTTTTTT